CCCCCACGTTTACTTCTGGACAGTTACATGGGCCTACGGTACCCCATCTCGAAGCATTCACTCAACAACAAAACCAACCGGCTAATTCAAACTGAAATCAAACGTGAAAAAAACAACCCCACACGCAAGTAATAATTACACCCATGCGCCTATCCCAGCACTGAGCGTCCAACCCGTTGTCTTCCCGGAGCAGTCCAGGATAATGTTCTATTTTTTATTACTCCAACCTCCCACCCACCTCCCCTTCCCCCTCCACATCTCCCATATCCGCCTCTCCCGCCCTCACCACCCCTCATTGTCTGGCCTGTGATGGAACAGGGGCTTTCCTGTTCGCGCCACCTTGTCCCAGGGTCAGTCTGAGGCGTGACCACAGGGATACCATGTAGCGACGCCACCCCCTGCCGTTTGCAGGCCAATGAGAGAGGGTTACTTTCCTCATTTTCCGTGGACTCTTTTGCAAATTTTGGCAAACAGGTATTAATGAAATGTAGGGACACTTTATTCTCTCCCCCCCCCTTCCCCCGTCCCCTGCCTCCACCCCCCTCCCTTTTCCTTGTACCGTGGGATTAGTGAAGGGGTTGGTTTTCGTTACAGTTGTGTATTATGAAGAGTTGTTGGGTGACCTCAAGGAAGATTTCTTTCTGTCACGGTTGTGTTAATTGACTCTGTCGTCACACATAACAACTCCTACCTTCTGCGATGATATATTATAGCTGTCGCTTTGCAATAAATGGGACCCGGACCCGCCCGTCCCCTCTCTCTCTCTCTCTCTCTCTCTCTCTCTCTCTCTCTGTGTGTGTGTGTGTGTGTCTGTGTCTGTTTCTCTCTCTCCTCTGTTTTTCTCTTTTCCCTTTTCTCCCTCTTTCTCTCTCTTCCGTCCGCCCTCTTTGTCTTTCTCTTCGCTTTCTCTTTCCTTATATCACTCACTTTCTCTGCTCCCTCTATCATCCTCCCACCCCCCTCTCTCTCACTCTCCACCACCTGCTTTCTTCCTTTTCATCTCAAGAGAAAGATAAAGTATAATATAACAGGCTGACCCAGTACACAAACGAGGATTAAACAACCAAAATTAATTAAAGGCCATTATCTTTACTTTACAGTTCTATACGCCACATCCTGTAGCACCCCTTTACTCTTTGAGTTATGTCAGAAAGAGTTCTTCTTCCTTTCCTCCATCTTTATTACCCCCCCCCCCCTGAAATCAAAACAAAACATTACTGGTTCATGTCCCGTCCAACCACACCCATCTCTCACAGAGATGTCGTAACAGAACTTAAGAAAATACGTCCTTCTATATGTATGCATTCGTCAGCTGATGTCCTGAAATGAGACCCTCCTCGTGATTTTTGGGTCTATTGAACAACACAACTCAGCAGGGTGAACATTATAAATCTGTTCTCACGTCACAAAAATGTCAGGTTTTCAATGAGAAAAAATGTTGCCCCCAGCGAAGGTTGATTATTTTTAAATTGTCAATAGAAGTGTATAAAAATGTAAAATTCAGATTTGAATAAAGATAGGAAAGAAAACTGGGCATTCCCAAGTCATAAAGGCAATGTTTACCCGGAAGAATTAGTCAGAGGGGTAGGTCTTTTTATCGCACCATCTCTCTCTCTCTCTCTCTCT